GCAAATGGCCCCTGCTCAGGGTCCGATTTGGTGGGAGCAGAATCCCAGGACCACCTCCAGAAGGGCCGACCACCTCCAGACCGGTGCCGCGAAGCGGGCGAAAAATCCTTGGCATATTATATGTGTAGATTGCTTGAAAATTCCGGTATTTTTTTGTGTTTTGGATCATAATTATTGCGCAGTTGAATTTTTTGTATATTGGAATAAATATTGTGGAATAAATAGCGAATTACTTGTTAGTTATTCGTTGAAACAGTCAGACGAATGGTGCCACGGAGAGCTGGGGGATAAGAAGAATTCCCAAAACAATCCCTGCTAAATTCTCTACATTCCTATTCACCCACCACTTCAACTTCACTTTCGCGAAATTCCAGACTCTATATTATGGAATGGATAATATGAAAGATAAACAACTCCTTCCCTATTTCTCAAATCTTTTCCTAAACTATTCATGTTTCGCGGATCAGTAAACTCTTCTCAGCCGCCTTTAAAGAAGGGACACGGACACGGGACTTTTTCCGACCGTAGTTTTCCGGAACCGGTCTGGACCGCCTTCTCACCTACACCAATCGACGCGTCTTGAGCTTGCGCATCCGACTATACCCATGAAAAGCCATGAAAAGTTTGTTAGACAACCTCCAACCCCCCATTTATGCTGATTTTAGGCCAAAAACGCAGTTTTCCGGATCGAAAATTCCGGAAATGGCTCGGATCAATTTTTAACCCACATCAATCGACGCGTCTTGACCTGCCGCATCCGGTGATGCCCGTGAAAAGTCCTAGAAAACTTTAAATGGGACAACCTCCAACCCCCGATTTATGCTAATTTTAGGCCAAAAAGACGGTTTTCCGGTCACCGATTTCCGGAACCGGCACGGATTCATTTCTAAGCTACACCAATCGATGCGTCTCGTCATTACGCATTTGGTGATACTCAAAGAACCATGAAAACTTCGTTAGGCAACCTCCAAGCCCCTATGTGTCCTGGTTTCAGCTGCTCCCACGTTTGATCCCAAGGGTTTTTCGCGGATAAATCGTAGCAGGAAGTAGATGACGCCAAAGTAAATACACCATCGGATAGAGGAGACTTTCAGCTATCACCTGATATGCGACATCTTTATGGGAGATGGTGGAGAAAGGAAGAAAGTTGGAATTAAGGAAACACCTAAAAGGGCCGATCCCAGGTTTGCTCCCAAGGTCAAAATTTTTATTTCCCAATAATCCTTTGTCCCGCCGAACCGATCGGGCTAAAACTTCTAGGGGATAAAGATGTGATCTGTGGCTACACAGGGAGGTGGTTTTGAAATCAGGAACTAGACAGAGGCCGGAGAACGGGGAGGATCTAGGGTCGAGATTTTGGTCGGAATTTTCAGAAATCCCGACGGGGCCAAAACAAAAAAAGGGGGGTGGAGGTTGTCTAACGAAGGTTTCATGGCCTTTTATGGGTATCCCCGAATGCGTAATGACGAGACGCATCGATTGGTGTAGCTTAGAAATTGATCCGTGCCGATTCCGGAAATCGGTGGCCGGAGAAAACTGCGTTTTGGCCTAAAATTAGCATAAATCGGGGGGTGGAGGTTGTCTAACGAAGTTTTCATGGCTTTTCATGGGTATAGTCGGATGCGCAAGCTCAAGACGCGTCGATTGGTGTAGGTGAGAAGGCGGCCCAGACCGGTTCCGGAAAACTACGGTCGGAAAAGTCCCGTGTCCGTGTCCCTTTAAAGGCGGCTGAGAAGAGTTTACTGATCCGCGAAACATGAATAGTTTAGAAAAAGATTTGAGAAATAGGAAGGAGTTGTTTATCTTTCATATTATCCATTCCATAATATAGAGTCTGGAATTTCTCGAAAGTGAAGTTGAAGTGGTGGGTGAATAGGAATGTAGAGAATTTAGCAGGAATTATTTTTGGAATTTCTTCTTCTCCCTCAGCTTTCCGTCACCATTCCGTCTTCTTTGACTGTTTCACCGAATAATAACAAGTATTTCAGCATTTATTCACAATATTTATTTCACAATTACAAAAATCAACGCGAAAGTTAATATTCGATTGTCGTTATTGTCGATCGCTTCTGGTGCTTCTGCGAAAAACATGGTCTAAAGTAGTTTTTGGGCCATTCCTTAGCCATTTTCAGTTACCTTAGGTTAAACCAACAGCACAGTCTTTAATAGTTACTGGAATACCCGCCGCGAAGCGGCGAAAAAATTTTTGCGACCTTTTTTTGACCACCTCCAGGCCGGCCTACCACCTCCAGAGAAATTTTCCCAATTCTCCCAACCAAATCGAAGCCTGCCCCTGCTCGCATGCTCTACTCGAATCAATCGATTTTGGTGGATTGATGGGAAGGGAAGCGAAGCAGTGAGATACCTTGGGGAATCGATTTTTAATTTTTGGGGTTATTGAGGATTTTTGGGGTTCTGGGGGGTTACGGTAGTGGGTTTTCGGGTTTGCATTTAGGTTTGCTGTATTTTGTGTTTAAAGGGATGTGGGATTCAAAAAAATTAGTAGAAACAAAAATTGAGTCACTGTATTTTGGGGAGTACAGTATTTATGAGTATTTTAAAATATATTAAAAGACTACAAAAAGGTATAAAAATTCTGGGTTTTGTTGTACTCCACTTGACTGGGGGTGACGGTAAGCGCCGCTGGACTTTTTTTGCGCGCGTTTTTCGGGGCTGGGCTACGTTAATTTTGCACTCTTTTTTACTTTTAACGACCACTAGCTAAGTATTTTCGGATTTTCCGTCGCTTTCGTAATTTCTAATCGATTACGCAGCTTAAATCATCTCAGGATTCCGCAATTATGTCCCTTTTGCCTCGACTTATTTGCACGCAGCGTCTCACTGATTACACTAGCTAATGCAGCTCTTTCATGATTTTCACGGCGTAATGGCTTTATTAGGTTTGGACTCGGGGCCGGGGGTACGTAGCAGAGATCATTTAATGGTAGGGGGCAGCGCCGGATGGGGCAGCCGGGGCCTGGTATCCGACCACCTCCGACTTGACCGACACTTCCGGGGCCACGGGAAGGGCATTGTAGGCAGGGCCGTGCGAGCGCATTCCTATAATTTGGATCGATTACGTATTTTAACTCATTGCATTACAGGTGATTTTCGAAAAAATCTGCGAAACGCAGCTTACAACGGCGGATTGTAATTAGCGACGTAATCGATTACGCCATTTAAATGGTGACACATGACTGCGAATAGATTACGATATGTCATTTTCAAGAAATCTACCATTTCTAGGCATGCAGCGTACAAAGGCGCGTAAAGAGGTGTGGAACGGAAAGTTCCATTTTCCGTTTCTGCTGCCACCAGCTAACAATGGCAATTTGGGGCTTCTCCTCTATGCTGTCGTACTTTCCCTCAAGCTATTTTTCGCTCTCAAGACAAGGTCACTGGGCTCTTCTTTTCGTTTTCCGGTCCCTTTAATCTTCGCATTCTGGGCTGAAAACTCCATTCTAGTGTACACTAGTTTCCAGATTCAAGCTAAGATACTTAGAATCGATTTTTGACAATTTTTTGAGGTCAAGTGGGCTCAAAAGTTATTGATTTTTACTTCCGGTCTCCTTAATTTTTCGATCCCTATTTTCCTTCCTTGAAACCCCACCATTGACAACCATCAACGTAAAGGGGCGCCCGTCTCGAAGTGGGGCGTTGTCGATCGGCATGAAGAACCTGGAAAACCGGCCAATTTTGGGGGGAAGAAGCCGGAAAGGACCGGCCGAAAAACAGGACTGATAGCCAGTCCCGTAGGCTGAAATCAGGGGAACCCGTTTTAACGAATTCACGAGGGGTCAGAAGTACGCCCGGGCTTCCTTCCTGGTTTCTTTTCATGGAGATGGTGATGCGTTTTTAAGGATTCCTGGGTTTGATGGGTTGTAAAGGGATCGTGACACTTGAAATTCCATGCGATACGTAATCTTCCAAAATTTTTTTAAACAGTTTTGCGTGAATTTTGTAGTTTTCTAGTCGTAGATCGCTAAATTGAGAGCGAGCATTGACTTCGGAGCTTGAAAAGCATGAAAATCCGAATTTCGGGCACATTTGCTAATCGATTTCGCGATGAAAATCGAAAAGAATTTATTTTAATCGGGTTTTAGTGAATTTTTGGGCTTTTTAAAGATATTGGGCGCTGGATTCAGCTCCAGAATCATTTTCGAACTTTAAAAATCAAAAATCGAAAAAATTAGACCGTTTTGGCTATTCGATTGCGCTATGAAGATAGAAAATGCTTTTTAAATGCGCTTTTTAGTGAATTTTTAGGCTTTTTCGAGATGCAGCGCGCTGAATTGGGCTTCAGGATCGATTTTCTACCTATAAAAAGCGCAAAAAACTTAGCTTTTAGACGGTTGTTGGCTATTCAATTACGCGATGAAAGTCGTCTCGTTTTTTGTAGTTTTTTTAGACCGAGTTTGGGCTTTTAAAAGATGCATTTTGCTGAATGTGTAACAGACCTAGGCCAATAGTGCATTTTAAAGCAATCAATTAGGCCATTAAATGGGCTTACCCGTTCGGCTTCTGATTCGGCTCGGATGGGTTGGCGGAGAAGCCGGGCGGCAAAACGGAGGCCTGGCCGGTGGTGTCGGGGTTCTGGATGACGTACAGGGGGTGTTGCTGAAAATTGGGGGTTATAGCTGGCAGAGACAATTTGCGGAAAAGCTGAAATTCCTCAAAGAATATCTGCTAGCTGACCTCATTGCCTCCCATCCGGGTGAACTGTCCCTCGTTCATCGGCGGAATGTCGGCCGGGTTGTTGACGTAGTCGGCGGGGGCGGCTACGGGGGTCAGAAGATATCCAGTAAGGCGACCCTGGAAATTTGGATTTTAAAGAGACGGACAAGGCACGGCTGGGATTTTAGCAGACTAGGAAATTTTTGCCACGAAACGCAACGCATCAGCATCAGCACGCAACAGCCGCAACACGCAATGGGCTAGCGACGCTCGCCTCGACGTGTGTCGAGGGGCTCCAGATTTTACGCCTTTAAAGGCCCATTGAAGTCTAGCGTACCTGTTGCTCCTGTTGCTGGGGTTGCTGCTGTTGTTGGATTTGCTGCTGGAATTGGGGCTGCTGCTGAACCTGTTGCGGCTGGGGCTGAGGCTGTTGCTGATAGCTCTGAACTGGCGCCTGTTGTTGCTGGATCTGTTGTTGGAATTGGGGCTGGGGGAACTGTTGTTGTTGTTGGATGTATTGGGGCTGCTGCTGGGGTTGTTGGGGAATATATTGCTGCTGCTGGGAGGCTGTGGGGCGAAGGCTTGCTGGTATTCTAAAAATCGGATTTTTGGTGGGAGTTAGCAGAGACAATTTGCGGAAATATTTTTTTGACGAGGCAGGCTACCTGAGACAATTGGGGACATTTTTTTAGGGCGAGTGGCAGGGATTCTTGAAAAAATCAACCCCATTGGAGCTTTGGCAGGCTAGCAGAGGCAATTTGGGGAAAATCGTTTTTAGGGCTAGCTAGCAGGGATTCTTTGAGAAAATCTGGTTTTGGCAGGCTAGCAGAGACAATTTGTGGAAACGGTTTTTAATTTGAGGGTTTAGCAGTGATTTTTGAGGAAAGGGCTTTTCTCTAGACTTGGGCAGGCTAGCAGAGACAATTTAGGGGCCAAATTTCATGTTTTTGAGGCAGGCTGGCAGAGATTCTTTGAGAAATTAGCCACAAACTTACGAGCAAGGGCCTGTGCAACAAAAACAGCAGAAATTACTGTCCGGAGCAGCATTCTAACGATTTTTCGAGTTCAAGGAGTACGGTAGCTAGCGGAATCCGGTGGTGTCAAGTGGAGCCCCGCGTAGTCGGGCCGTGAATTCGATCTTCTCTTGCTATAGGGTTCGAGACTGACCATCAGCAGCTAGCTGGAGATCCCGCCCCTTTGGGGAGTCTCCTTTTGATTTCACTTTCCGCAATATTTCCCCCATTTCTTGAGCATGAGGAGCAGCATTCAAAGAGACTCTCTCTCTCTCTCGCTCTCTCTCTCTCTATGTCTCTCTCTCTCGCTCTGAAGTGGAAATCTCGCGCAACCTCCCTTGAGAAAACCCGATCCCTCAAACAGGAAAATTTTGTGTGATTTGCGGTCAAGAAAATAGCGAGGGCAGGCTAGGAGGGATTCTTTAGGAATTTCGTGGCTAGGTAGCGGACATTCTTTGGGGTCGGCTAGGGTCGGTAAGGCTAACCAGCAGAGATCTTGGGATGGCCAGAGCAAACTAGCAGAGACTCTTTAGAAATTTTTGGGGAGAGTCAGACGCTGTGACAGCAGGTATCTGAGCAAACTTTTTGTGTGTTGCCCAGAGCGAGCGCTTCTAACTATGATTTTATGAATCTACGCACAAAACTGCGTCGGAGTGCGCTTCAGAATTTTTTTTTGTAAAATTAGAATATTTCTATAAATCTCTCTATAGCAGTTTTGATGCTTGTAGGGCACTTTCGCACCTCCCGGGCCCCTGTTTCGAAAAAGATCGCGACATCTGTCCGTAGCGAATTGTGTCATTCGATGGAGCGTCAAAAACAGTGCCGACAGTCGTTTGGTTCGAGGCTCTTATGTAGTTACTGTTATTTTTTTGAAGGTTGACTCTGACCCCCTAGCGGCCTTGTATCTTTCCGGGCCTATTTGAGGCCAGTCGGGCATTTTCAACACGTCATTCAATTTGCATCTGAAAGAGCGTAAAAAATAGTACCGAAATCAGTTTCGACTGAAACCCGAGAGGCCCTGGTGTGGTTGCTAGGATTTTTTGAAGTTTTGAGTTTTCGTGTTTTTCGAGCAAGGGCCAACCACATGGATTTTTCGGAATTTTGCCATACAAATTCGAAAGATCCGCCCGTCGCGAATTGTGCGATTCGAAAGCATATAAAAATGGTCCCTAAAAACGTAGGGTCCTATGCCCTGGAGGCCCTAGTGTAGTTTCTAGAATTTTTTGAAGTCTTGACTTTGGTCTGCTTTTGGAGTCAAGGGGGGACCACATGAATTTTTCGCTATTTCGCCGCAAAATCGAAAAATTCCCCCGTAGCGAATTGTGCCATTCGAAAGAGCATTGAAAATAGTCCCTAAAAACGTTAGGTCCAAAGCCCTGAAAGCCGTGGTGTAATTTCTAGGATTTTTTGAAGTGTTGACTTTTGGCATTTTTGTAGTTTCCACCCCCGAGCTCCGCATAATAAATATCTTTATTTCTCTAGATCTCTCATATATCTTTTTTTCACTCTTTCTCACATTCGGTAGATCACAATAAATAGGCATATCAATAAATTAAAACTTGAATAAATTAGTGGATTTTGTAAAAATATTTTTTGGGCCCGTTTTGGTAGTTTTCGGGGGGAACACAGTAGTAGGAGGAGGTATGATAGGGGTACGGTAATCTCAAAAAAAGAGATTTTTGAGGGGTTTTTGGAAAAATGGGGCTTGGGCAGGCTAGCAGAGACGATTGGGGAAGGGGCGGGGCTTGATTTTTACTTCAATGTGCCTTTAAAAGGGTTTTTCGAGGGTTTTAAGGGCCGTTGAAGTCAAATCTATCGGGTTTTCCAGAGTTAGTGCCTATATTTTAGCTTTTAAAGGTCCATTGAAGCCAGATTTATATGAGTTTTTTCCAGCTTGAATCCTGTTTACGACTTTTGAAGGCAAAATGACGATTTTGCCTCGTTTTCTCTGCCCTCTCTCGATTTTCCGCACGCTCTCTCCCTCCCTCTCGCCGCCTCTCTAATACTGGTAGCAGATCTTGTATCCACAAGTCGTCATGCAGCACGACGGCTGCTGCGTGTTCTCGCGTCCCAGGCAGTCCGAGTCCGTGTTGCACGCGTCCGCGTGGGCGAACAGGCAGTTCAGCCCGGTGTTCGCGTCAGCCGGGCAGCTCGGCGTGCCGGTTATACCTTAAAAATAACATACATCGAAAGTCCGAAAATTTCAGTTTTTAAACATGACTTCGGGTGGGATCGAACCCGCGAACCCCTAAGACCTCAAAAACGACTAGGTCATTCGATTAAGGCATGAAATCCCCCGACTTACCGCTACTCCCACAGGTCGCCTGGCAGCTTGCCAACGACTGGAAGTTGTTCGCATTTCCTCCACAGCCAGAGTACATGAATTGGGTGCATCTAAAAATGGAGAATTAAATTTTTTTGTTTTGACAATTGACATTCCAAATTCGCGTAAAAATCGGATGAAATCGGATTTTAAAGGACCACTGAAGGCTACCGACCTTCCCGCCCCGGCGTCGTAGTAGTAGCGGACGGTGGGCGCGGTGCACGAGCCGACGGCGAGGGGTTGATTGCAGATGGAACTGCCTGAAGCTGTTAGCAGGGATTAGAGGGGGATTATATAGGTAGAAGGCTATAGACTACAGACTACACTACAGACTACAGTACAATGGGAAGTCTAAATACCACAGAAAAGTAAAAATTACGCTAGAGCACGTTCCGCTACGCGCTAGTACGTTAATTTACGTTGGTGTATGCCAAATTACGGTAGGTAGACGCAGAGGTCGTGAGAGTACGCTTTGCGACTCGGGAGTACGTTAAGCTGCGCTAATGTATGCCAAGTTACGATAGAACATAGAGCAATCAGAGGCCGTCCTAAGGTACGCTAGAGTACGCTACGCTAGGATTTACGGATGATAGTCTGTGCTGCGCTACTATGCAATACTTGACGCTACGATAGAGTACGCTAAGTTGCCGTAAGGTACGCTATAGTACGCAGTACGCTGCGTTACAATACTACCCAAAAGTTAAGCCCAGAATTGTGAGCCAAAAAGAAGTAGAGAAAGTAGACGATGAAAAAAAAGTTATAAAAACTGTAAAGAATACGTTATACTACGCTACGCTACGCAGTACAGTAGAAGTTGAAAAAGCCAGATAGAAAGAGGCAGCCGGAAATATGACGAAATTTCTAAGCTAGAAGCACATCATTTCGATAGATACGCAGAGAAGTATCCGGCCCCCACGGCATACGCACCGAACTCACTGCTAATGCCGACCGGGTCTCGGCAAATTCGCGTCGCCGAATTTGTCACCGGATTCGGCTCGACGCAACACTTCTGGATTCCAGGGCAGTTGGCGTCCAGCCAGCAGCCAATCGTCGTATCCTAAATGGTCACTGCTGGTTCCCGATTGATGTCTGTCGCTCTCGCTCTCTCTCGCTCACTCTCTCACTCGCTCGCTCTCTAGCCCGCTCTCTCTCCCAAACGCTCTCTGCCAGCTGACCTGTAGAACTGAGATTCCAAGGGGACGGGGGCAACTTCCGGATTTTGCGTTGATCTCAGAGGCGGGGATTCCTGAAAAATCGATAGTTTTGGGTTTCAAAGGGTATGGGAAGTCAATGGTCTCTGCTAGCTTGCCCATGGCGGAACTAGCGTAACGATTACGACATGAAATCTATCTGAATTCTGACTGGATGATCTCTGCTAGCTTGCCTGGTGGACTCCAGGAATGGTAGCATCAATTTCTAGTTTGATTTCGATCCCAAGTGGTCTCTGCTAGCTTGCCAAGCTTCGAAAGCCTTGATCTAACGTACCAGAAGTGACAATCTGGCAGCACTTGTTGCCGTCGCTTTGCACGCAGATCTGCCCGGAAAGGGGGCAGGCCTGCAGATCACCAGTGCACTGGATTAGGGCAGCAGAGCTGAAATTAAAAAAATTTTGGGGGGTAAAAAAATTGCGGGTTTAAAGGGCTATGGAAATTCTTGAAATAGGGAAAATTCTGAGCATCAGATTTGTTAGCTGTTAAATTAAATTGGCGTTAAATTTGTTAGCTGTTCAAGCGGTTAAATGATTCGATTACGCAATGAAATTCTTAAATGACTTACCTCGGGCAAAATCCGAGAATCGGCCTCGTCACCGGCTCTGGTCGTGGTGCCTCGGTGGACGGGAAGATTTTCTCCAGCTAAAAATCAAGTTTTTGAAGCTGTCGAAGCCGGCTTTGTTTTTTAAAGGACCATTGAAGGCTTGGTTCTTCGAATTTCACAAACAACTCACAACGTCCGGCGGGGCTCCCCTTAGGCATTCCGGGTGCTCGTGGAGCTTGCCAACGAGCTCGTAGTACTTGCAGAGGTCGAGCGCCGAGGCCGAGTACTGTAATTTGAATATTTTGGGAGGCAAACGAGCAGAAACTCTTTGAGGATTTCCTACGGATTCTGTCTTTCCGGTTCCTTTAAAACGGCTTAAGGCCGAAAATCCTTTAAAATTCTTTTAGATTTTATAAATTCTTTAAAAGGCCGAAAAACTCTTTGAAATCGAGTAACTTTGCTTTTTTTACTTTGATTAAGAATCTCCCAAAAAAAACTTGATCAAGAAGCTCAAGACAAACGAGCAGAGATCATTTGCAAATTCCTAAGGATTCTGACTTCCACGTCACTTTAAAAGCCAAAAAAACGAACAGCAACCGCGCAGATGAGGGCGATGGGCAGCCGCATCGTGGGGTGGCTGGGTTGGGGGATTGTCGCGGAATGGCACAGATAGCGCGCCGGGCCGCCGGACACTTCCCCCCGCCAGCGCGCGAAGCGCCCAGGGCCCAGCCCCCTTCCGCGTCCGCTTCTCTCGGTTCTCTCTCCTCTCTCTCTCTCTCTCTCTCTCTCTCTCTCTCTCTCTCTCTCTTTCTCTCTCTCTTTCGCTCTCTCTCTCTCGCTGTTGCTGTCTCTCAATTTTCCCTGATCTCTCGCCCCTTCTGGTGGTGAGCTGAAAAACAGTCGACACGTCAAATACCCTCTCATATTCTGGGTGGACTGAGTGACAAACAAAAAAGGGTAGCAGACAGACAGACAGACAAACGAACAAGGCAAATAGGTGTTGCGTGTCAGACAGGTGGTATACTGTAGTGAGTGTAGTCTGTAGCCTGCGTACTCTTCCTGAAGAAACTCTGCTAGTCTGCCCTGTTCGAACCAAAATGAATTTCCTAGCGTAATCGGATCATCCCCAAGGATCACTGCAAGTTGGCCAAATTCAAGCCAAAAATGTCGCTTGCTTGCGCGAGCCGTAGCTCAAGGGTCTCTGCTAGCTCCCCTAATCGTGAACCAAAGTTTACATTCCAATCACTGCTGGCCGGCCTCGGCTAATTTTCAAGCTCGCCCAAGCTTAAATCGACGCTTTTTTCTGGAGGGTTCAAAGATTTTTTCTAACCTGCTTCAAATTTCCTCAAGAATCTCTGCTAGCCAGCCTCATCGGACCTCAAGGGTTTCAGCTTAGGCTTAGGCTTAGGCTTAGGCTTAGGCTTAGGCTTAGGAAAGTTTTCCTAAAGCCTAAGCCCAAGCACAATTCTGACCTCCTAAGCCTGCCAAGCCCAAGCCTATGCCTAAGCCGAACCAAGCCTAGGCTAAGCCTAAACCTAATCCTAAGCCGAGCTCCTGCCCATTTCCAGCCACTTCCTCCATGGCCCCCGTTTGCTTGCTTGCTTGCTGCCATCGCTGACCATCATCTCCTTCCATGGGGGGTATCATGGGCACTGTTTGTCGCGGCCAATCTGTCTCTATGTCTGTCATCCCTTTCCAATTCTATTTGCCCACTGAATGCCCGCTGTCCTCCCGCCGGTCCGATATTTCCGGTCCATTTGGAGGAACGGGTCCCTGCGGGCTGATCGCCTTATTTGAGCAGTCTCTTTGCCGCTCCCTCTCTCTCCCTCTAGACGTCTCTCTCCACTGACCGGACGCTCTCAAACACGCAATCCACACGTCCACCAGGGGAGGCGTCACGTCAAGCCCTTTTTTAGGGGCGGCGACGATATGGGGCCTGAAAAAGAGGAAAAGTGAAGTTCCTAAGCGTAAGCCTACGCCCAAGGTTAAACCTAAGCCTAAGCCAAGCCCAAATCTAAGTCCAGCCTAAGCCTAATCTGAAGCCTAAGTCACGTGGGGGTAAACCTCAGTTTAACCTGAATCACTAAGGATCTTTGCTAGTTGACCCCTTTTCTCTCCACGATCCGAACTCTTTGGCCAAAAGGCAAAAGCAAAAAGCTTGTCGCGTCCGGGGGTCGAACTAGCGTGTCTCGTGATGCCAATTTCAGTGGTTAAACTATTTGATTACGCTAGGAAATTGATTTCTAATTGTTAATTAAATAGGTCTAAAATTAGCAAAAAGCAAAAATTTCTGTACCGGCCGGGATCGAACCCTCAACTTTGTGTTTGGCGTCCTAGACCTCAGATTTTATGTGTTTTTTTCCAGCGCTAGGGATTGGCCAGATCACCAGGTCGCCAAGCGTCCATTCCTAAATGCTCTCTGCTAGCCTGCCTTAGGGCCCGAAACCCAGGAGTGCATATCCACACCCCGGGGCTTGATGGCTTTCCGAATCCCGCTCCCGGATCGCCCGCATCTTCCTGGTCCGGAGATCTGATGGGTGCATTCACTCTGCATCTCTCTCTCTCTCTCTCTCTCTCGCTTTGTTTGTGTGTGTCCTCAAGCGGGCGGTGCTGATGAGAGCCCTCCCTCGCCCCTTCCGATTCCGATCCACACCTGCCAACGGAACGTCTCCCCGGGGGGTCCCGCCACGAAACAACAGAGGGCGAGACAGTGAGAGAGCGAGAGAAAGAAAGAGAGAGGGATAACGATCCCGCCCGGGCCCTCAAGGAAATTCAAACCCGGGAATTATGATTCCAGCGGAATTGAGGGGGCTAATTGGGGATCTCTGCTAGCTTGCCTAAATCCAAAAAAAAACTGAAAACCGCTACTAAGCAGATCCTAGCGCTAAAAGAAACTGTCGTAATCGGTTACGCCGTCTAAGGACTTGAAAATGACATTGGCACCTCGTCCCAAATTTCCCCTGCTAGCTTGCCTGTGCCTTGATGTTAGTATTGCAATCAGTTATCCCAGTTAAATCACGATTTTTCCTTTTCCGGCCGGTTTTTGTAGTCTGTAGTGTTCGTAGTTTATTGTCGTGGACGCGTATATGCCTTTTGTAATTAGTTTATCGACTGTACACTTTATTCCTAAAGCCGCTACGGTGGCTACCGTAATCTCTCCAGGGAAATCTCCTTTTTCGCTTTGTGACAAGTGAGACAGCAAATCTCCGAGAAATCCTTCGCGTTGCAGTAGTGCCGCAGCTTTGATTTTGAATATTTTCGGCATAGGTCGGCATTCAGATCTTTGCACGCTGAAAAATGATAAAACAAATTGATTTTAAAGGGAACGTGACAGTAGTGAATAATTGGTACTTTCGCGTTATCGGGGGGATCAACTTTTTCTGGGAAGCTAATTTTTTTAAATATAAATAGTGCAAGTGTGTCGAAATCGTTTTTCACTATTTCTAGACGTGAAAAATGTTTAAAATTGTCTAAAAAATTATCAAATTATCGATTTTTGGATCGAAAATGGCCGCTTCTTAAACAAAATTTCGACTTTTTTAAGTTTTTAGATAGTTTTTCTAGTTGAAATATCGTCATTTTTCACGAAAAACACCATTGAAGCACTTTCTATGAAATTGCTACGCATTTCTAGACTTTTAGAAAAAAGTTCGCCCCCCCCCCCCCCCGATAATGCGAAAGAACCAAATTATTTAGCGTTAACTTACCCAGCATTTTCTTCGCATTGTCGATACAGTGTCCCTTCTGGCACCACTAAAATAGTAGTTTAGTGTAGAAGTGGATTTTCCGAAAGAATCTCTGCTAGCCTGCCCCTCAAATTCCGCAAGAATCACTGCTAGCCTACCCCTCCACTTCCTCAAAGAATCTCAGCTAGCTGCCCCTACCCTATTCATGCCACACTGTGTCCCATCCAACGCCGGGAAGAAGGGCAACGTCTCGCACGGTCCGTCCCAGTCCTGTTGACGGTCTTTACACCAGACTCGCCGGCAAGGATCGCCGCCCAGATCTTTGTACTCGGGCTTCTGAAACGGAGACTGCAGGCTACAACCTCCAAGCTACAGTAACCCACCGTGCACAGCCCATAACCCTTGCCAAACGCCAGCTGGCACTGTAGGGAGGCGCTCCAGCGCTCCCCCGGAAATGAGTCCGTCAGTGGGTTTGGGGCGGAGACGCGTCTTCTGCTTTTCTTCCGGACGCAGAAGGCCTCTGGACGGCTAAAAAGTCGGGTATATAGGCTTGACTCCGGCTTAGGCCTGGCTTGGCTTGGCCTAGCATAGGGCTTAGACTATGACTAGATTAGGTTTAGGCTTATACTTAGGATTAGGCTTCGATTTGGCTTGGGAGGCTAAGCATAGGCTTATGCTTGGGCTTCGGCATGGACTTTGGATTAAGCTTAGGTACAGGCTTAGGCCTAGGCTTAAGCTTAGGTTTAGGCTTATGTTTAGGCTTCGGCGTAGGCTTTGGCTTGGGCTCAGGCTTACCTCAGATATTCCTCGACGTCGCTCCGGCTACAAGGGCTTAGCCTGCGTACATTGAAGAAGCGCTCGTCGTCGACCTTGACGGAGACTACAAAGTACTCTTCTGGTCTAGCCAGACTACAAACCACAAACCTGAAGGTGCCATCAGAAATGTATGATGCTGATGGCATTCCTCCGTTAGATTCGGGTGATCGTGGGAAGCGCCGAGGCTGGAAGCGAGCAGAGATCGTTCGGGAATCGTTTTAAAGGTCCATTGAAGACAAAAACGCGTTTTAAAGGACGGCTAAAGCTTACTTGTGTCCCAATTCATGAGCAGCTATAATAGCCGTAGCCATCGCTCCGACGTCCTCAACGACCGAGGAAGATTCCTCTCCTTTGCAAAGCGCGGCAAGTGGTGCCATCCCTTGAGAGGAATCCGAGCCGGACCAGGAGAGGAGGTCGAGTCTGAAATGGGGCAGACTATCAGGGGTTCTTGAGGAAAAATCAAAGCTTCTGTAGGGCAGGCTAGCAGCGTTTATTTAAGAAAGGGCGCAAGGAATTTGCTTGTTTGTTGATTAGGCAGTAATTAGACACGGCTGGGCAGGCTAGCAGAGACTTTTAGGGCAATTCCTAGGAAATCCACTCACTTTGTCAACAGCATCGTGTGATCGTGAACTGGCAACAAATCCTCGTGCCGCTTCTTCCATCCAAAAATCTTTGACAGCGCCTCGGGACCTTTGTATTGTTGGAGCAGGCTGAAAAAAGAGTATTTTTAGGCGATTCCGCTAGTTGAATAAGCGAATTTTCTAGGAAAGAGTTTTAAAATCGATTGTTACAATCGTTACGACGTTTCATTCGCCGAATTTTCGTGCATACAGTGGAATCTCGGGTTCTTTCGCATTATCGGGGGCGAACTTTTTGTATAATTCTAGAAAGGCCTAGTAAGTTAGTAAAAAGTGTTTTAATATTGTTTTTAGAAATATATAACTTTATTCCGACTAGAAAAACTATCTTAAAACTTTAAACAAGGCGAAATTTTGATCAAAAATCGACCTTTTATGGACGAAAAATCGATATTGCTGATATTTTTAATACAAATTTGTAAAGTTTTCGCGTTTAGGAATAGTAAAAACCATTGAGAAACATTTCCGCTAATTATATTTGAAAAATTGGAGCCTAACAAAACTTTGGATCCCCCGATAATTCGAAAAAAACCTAAATCGTGGCCTCTGTTCGATTACGACATGTAATTTCCTGGGCTGAGAAACCAATTTATCGAAAAAGGGCAATATGAACTGATTACGCTATTTAATTCGCAAATTGAACCAATTAGGCTAGGTAATTCCTGAATCCCTACCTTCCCTCGTCATCCCCATCCAAATCCTCCAATGTGATATTCCCGTCCATTTCGATCGGGGCTTGATCGTCAGGCTAGAAAAGTCTGATTTGCACCCAAGCTATAGTCCCCGAATTACCTGTAGTAATGGACAATCTGCAGGACGAATGGCTACAAAAGTACCGGCTAGCTGTAAATGAAGTTTCCCGAACGAGAATTCCATGTCGTCATAGATTGCGCGGACCTGAATGGGGGTCTCAAATTGTCGCTGCTAGCTTGCCCAGTCTCCAATTCCTCCAAGAACCTATGCTAGCCTGGCCCTACAATTCCCATAAGAATCTCTGCTAGCCCGCCCATCACTTACCTGCTCGAAGATGGCGGTCAAATACTCCGTAGCATACCGTAGCCCCCCGTCCTCGTCCCCAGCAATGTCTACAAAATTCTAAAACATCACCCGCCGGCTACCGTAGCTCTTCACTTACCCTGTAGAGGGCGTAATCCCCAACGAGGAGCAGACTGACGCCCATGTAGCTATTCCGAGCCGTTCCATTTGACGACGGCAGGGAGATGTTGGAGAATTTGGCTTCCTGGATTTGGGGTTGGGCTTTGCAGGCTTAGCATGAGCCTGAGCCTGAACCTAAGCCTAAGCCCAAGCCTAAGCCTACGCCTAAGCTTCCCCTTTTCTCTCACCTTTATAAGCTTCGTCTTCCCAAGCGTGTCTTGTCGCCTCAGCTTAACGATTCCATTCGTAGTACACAGCAATACAGTGAGCGTAATGAGTACAGTCGCGTAGTGGCGGGGTGTCATTTTGGGTGTCTGGCATTCCGTGTCTTGCCTCCAGGGCCTCCCTCCCCCACGTGCGCCGTAAACAGTCACCAGCTGACCATAAACAAATGGCTAGTCTCGGACCGGCTGGGGGCTGTGCATAGTACTGCCACGGAATTTGGGAGGCTAACCGTACCTTCCAGGACTGATTTTTGCGAGAAATCAACCGTGCGAAATCGTTTTGACAATTAAATCTGAAAGAGCACCCCGAATAATGCCGAAAAAGTTTGTTACCAGACTTGGAGGCCCTGGTGTGGTTGCTATGATTTTTTGAAGTGTTGTCTATGGCCCCCTGGCGGCCTTGTACCTTTCCAGGCCTATTTGAAGGCGATCGGGCATTTTCAACACGTCATTCAATTTGCATCTGAAAGAGCATCAAAAATAGTCCCTAAAAACGTTTCGACTGAAACCCGAGAGGCCCTGGTGTGGTTGCTAGGATTTTTTGAAATTTTGAGTTTTCGTGTTTTTCGAGCAATTTTTTTGGAATCTTACCATAGAAATTTCGAAAGATCCGGCCGTAGCGAATTGTGCCATTCGCAAGAGCACCAAAAATAGTACCGAAAACAGTTTCGACTGGATTATGAGTTTGTGGTTTTTACGATTTTTTGAAGTTGCGACGAAACACCCGGCAGCCCCCCCAATCGGTCATGCCTTCCAAGGCTGATTTCACGAGAAATCAACCTTGCCAAATCGTTTTGATGTCTGAATCTGAAAGAGCACGCCAAATAGTCCCGAAAATAGTTTCGTATGAAGCTCGTAAGGCCTGGGTTCGATTTCTATGATTTTTGAAGCTTAACATGTTTGCAAACTTTCACATTGCCGGTAAAACAGCTCCGGGTTTCATGCCCTAATCGATTAAACGCGCCTAACCTAGGGATCTAGTGTCGAGTCTAGTGACAGACTACAAGCTACACCTATTGTCACACGCCCAGGGTTCAACGCTTTTCATGGCGTAACTGGTTCGGTGATCCCTGGGCTTTCGGAAGCTATTGTTCACCGGCTCGAAGCTCATCCAGGATTCCAAACCACGTAGATCCCCTCCTCTTGCCTCTTAACCTGCAGAAACAGGTGTGTAGTGTGTGTCAAGAGGAACAATGCGGAAGGAAGGGAGAAGCTCAAGCTCATTACCAAAACTCGTTGCGCGGCTAGAGTCACCTGCCTTCCCACGCGATATATAAGGAAGAGCAGCTGGCACGTAGGTATCATTAATGCGCGACTCGCTCTGTATCCCTCCTCTCTCTCTCTCTCTCTCGCTCTCTCTCTCTCTCTCCCTCCCTTTTCCGCTACGCTTCTAAACACAAAAATTGAGGACGAAATTTGAGCCCTGGCGGCTTAGTGATGGAAGCCCGGAATTTCCGGAATAATCTCAGGATTTCCGGGTCCAAAAATGGACCCCGCCTGCGTCAGAACTTCCCAAATAGGCTGGCCAGCTAGCAGAGATCTTTGAGGGGCTTTTGGCCTAGGTTAGGCTTAGGCTTAGGCTTCGTTTAGGCTTGGGCTTCGCTCAGGCTTTGCTTAGGCTTAGGCTTAGGCTTACGGTTAGGTTGGGCTTAGATTGAGCTTGGCTTGGGTAAGACTTAGCTTAGGTAATCTAGCAGTGGCTATTGAGGAATTATCCAATCCCCTCCGAACGCCAAAGTTTTGTTATTTTGCTTTTCTGAAGTCCCCAGGAGCGTCAGAAATCAGCTGAGCTGCCCCCACGGCTTGGGGAATCCCATGCCCTTTCGGGTTTTTGGGGGACCGCCTCCACATTTGGGCTTATAAATAATGCTCAAAAATAGCGGGGTGTCCCCGGCCATCATCAGCTTCTCATTTTGGTTGCGTAATCGGTTAGCCGGCAGCGGAAAATGAAGCCAATTTGTGCCAACTTAAAAAAAGGTTGTTCCGGGTTCATTTACGCACTGGCTGGCTGGCTGGCTGGTTCTCTCTATCTCTCTTTCTCTCTCTCTCTCTCTCTCTCTCTCTCTCTCTCATCCTCTCTCACTTTTCCGTTAGACACCTATCGACACCCCCATTTTCAGGGCGTAATGCTTTGGGTACTCTTTTTATGGCTTGCCCACGTTACCGTAATGGCAGTCCCGGAGGGATATTTCGGATGTGCAACGTTTAAAGGCCACAACAACTGGGCCGAGCTGCTTATGCAATTGGACTGCGAGCGGAGAATGCGTCAGTTTTGTGCTTGGCTTAGCTGAGGCTTATGCTTGGGCTTAGGCATGGGCTTACGAATGCTTCTATTTTAGCCGTCGTTTCTGAATGCTGCGAAACACACGCCAAGTGCTACAAGGAGAACGGCGGCAAGCTGAGGTGGGCCAGCTAGCAAGGATTCTTGGGGGATCGGATGGCTAGCTAGCCATTTGCGACGCCTAGCAGAGATTATTGAGGAAAGAGACTAACTGGGGCAGGCTAGCAGAGTTTCTTTGAGGAATTTTTGAGTCGATTTTGGCTAGCTTCACTCTTTCCCTCATTTCTAGATGTGATCAGCAGCTTTGTGACTGTAACCAGCGCGCCGTCTATGGCAATGCGTTATGCCAGGTAATTAGGTGGTGTCTGTAGCTTGTAGTTTGTGACGTAGTGCGCTTTGCAGTTTGTAGTTTGTTGTAATCTGTAGTTTGTCGTACCTTTGGAAAATTTTGCGGACCCTGAACTGCTTGAACTTTGGCACCACGTAGTTTAATTTGTGTTCTGTAGTTTGTTTTGGCCGGACCCTGAACTCCCTGAACTTTAGCGCCACGTCGGCATGTACTGCGAATGGATTAAGAGCGACCGGCTGACATACGCGTTACTGCGGGGAAAGTGATAATTTAGTACTTTTCTGAAACAATAAATCAGTTGACAGTAAAGCACACTTTATTCAAGATCAAAAAGCGCATTCTAAAGGCGCTTGGCGGCGCGGCGGCGCACGACGGCGCGCCGGACGACCGCGCGACGCGCCTTAGCGGCGACGACGCGACGCCGGGCCGCGACGCGTCGGAAGACGGCGAGGCGGCGGCGGTAGGATTCCGGGAGTGCCGGGGTTGAGTCGGTGACCGCGTCGGTGACCGCGGCGCCGGCGTCGACACCGGCTGGCGGGCAGGCCGCCGCTAGAAAAGAGAGCGTTAGAGGAGAGAGAGAGAGAGAGAGAGAAAGAGAAAGCTAGTTACAGGAATTGTAGTCTATAGCCTACCATCGGCCGGAGGAGCCGGAGCCGCGGCGTCAAGGGCTGGAGGAGGAGGGGCTAAAATTGTTTCTCAAAGGATCTCTGCTAGCTTGCCCTAGCTTAAATTCTCTCTGCTCGCCTGGCCCCTCAAAAACTACGCTCCTAAAACTCACGTGGCGCCACGGTCTCCGACTCGGCGGCGTCGACGCCCAACGACGTCGGCGCAGCGGACGGGTAGCTGGGGCCGGCGGCTTCTAAAAAATTCATGTAGCTTAATTTTTTCTCCCTGGATACCTTAAATGTATACTTAAAATTCAGCTAAGAAAAATAAAGCCCACCTCCAAGCGAATTTGCCTCAATTGCCGCGTCAGCAGGAGGAGTTACGTAGCCGCCGTCACTAAAAATGGTTGTTTCCTCAAGAATCTCTGCTCGCTGCCCCAGTCCTGAATAATCGCGGCTAGTTTCCCTATTCCTCAAGAGTCTCTGCTAGTTGACCTAGCTCCTAAAGAGTCTAGGCTATACAGGGTGTCCCAAAAAAAAAGCACCCCTCCGGCATTTCGCAGTGTTACATCCCAACAGTCCCAAAATTGGACTGGATGTGTACCAGACCCTAAATAACCACAATCCTGACTTATAGCCCGATCACTACAGTATTTTTCGAGTTATCGTCAAAATACTGTTTTTTACGCGGTTCTTAACAGTTTTTTCGGCTATCTTTTTGGACTTTGCATCGATTTGCATCGACTTCCGGCTGCGAATCCCTAATTTCACTTAATATCGGGGGGTGACTTTGCGTTACACAAATTGTTGAAATCAAGGGTTATTGCACTAATTTTTATCAGAAAAAATCTCTAGGGGTAAAGCACGCTTGCCGCTTCATTTTCACTTAATATTCGAAGGGTCGATTTCGACGAAAACCATATGAAAAACGGATAATAAAGTTTATTTTTGTTGTATCTCGAAGATTACTGTAGCTGGCGGGCTATAACTCAGGATTGTGGTTATTTAGGGTCTGATACACCTCTGGTCCAATTTTCGGACCGATCGGATGTAACACGGCGAAATGCCGGAGGGGTGCTTTTTTATGGGACACCCTGTACATGGGCGGTCACCCCGGAGGGTCACCCTGGGGGTGACCGCCGCTCACCACCAGGGGGTGACTGCAATGGCACCCTGGGGTGACCCTCCGGGGTGACAACCTGGTCACCCTATAGATGCAAAGTGCTGCATTCAAATAAATTTCTATGGCAAGATGCCGGTGTTTTGCCGCACATATCATGCATTTTTCATTTTAATCGAGTATAAAATACCCTTGAAGCGGCAGTGGGAAAGTATATAACTTCAATAGAAAAATTTAGGCTTCTGATCGCTGCCCACAGCAAATTCTTGTCCGTTGGTCATTTCCATCTAAGTAATTTGCATGGACAGGGTGATCCGGTTCCGCACCCTCACCCCCACCAAAAATGGAGGGGTGACACCCCATCGTGGCATTCAGTCACCCCCAGGGGGTGAGCGGCGGTCACCCCCAGGGTGACCCTCTGGGGTGACCGCCCATGTATAGTCTAGGCTAGCTAGCTCATCTTGTTCCTAAAGGATCTCTGCTATTTGCGCTATTCCTCAAGAATCTCTGCTGGTTAGCTAACTGTCGCGATCCCTTTAATCCTCAAGTATATCTGCCAACTACCCTTAATTCCTCAATACTTGCTGCTAGCTCTCTCCCTTATACCCCCTGAATCGCTGCTAGCTAGCTAACTCGCCAAGATCTTCAATAAACTTTGCTAGCTACCTCGGAAATTCCCAAAAAATCTCTGCTAGCTACCTCGAAAATTCCCCAATAATCTTTTCTAGCGGCTTCGAAAATTCCCGAATAATCTCTGCTAGCTACCTCGAAAATTCCCCAATAATCTTTTCTAGCGGCTTCCAAAATTCCCCAATAATCTCTGCTAGCTACGTCAAAAAATCCCCAAAAATCTCTGCTAGATACCCCGCAATTCCTCAATAATCTTTGCTAGCTCACCTGTAAACAGCGACGATAACGAGGGCCAGGGCGACGATCGTGCCAATTCGCATCTTGAGCAGCTAGCTGGTCTCCGGATTCCGGATGATTTCTGGATGTGCCATTTCGGGGGATTTTCAGGCTTTTAAAGGCACGTTGGAGGCCATTTGGTAGCGATTGCCGGCTGGCAACAGACCCACTCGACGAGCACTACCTAGCAGCAAAAGGGGAGGAGAAATTGGATAAGTGCCCCGGCTGCCGAGGAGTCAGACTCATCTTCTCCCCCCCACTTGAGCATCTACCACTTATCCCTTTTTCGGTTCCGTTTTGCACCTGAAAACCGCGGAACATGAAAAATCACGATTTTTGAGCACCTTGTTTTTCCGCAAAATTTCTCGGCTAGCTTGCCTCGACAGGGCCATCTAGCAGAGATTCTTCGACGTTATGGCTGGCCAGTTAGCAGCGATTCTTTGAGGAATTTGAGGGCAGGCTAGCAGATATTCTTTAAAGAAGTAGAGGGGCAGGCTAGCAGAGTTTCCTTGAGGAAATGGAGGGCAGGGTAGCAGCGACCCTTTGAAAATTTGAGTGTTTTTAGCTCCAAACATGATGTTTTAGCCCGGGTTGTTTTTCTGCAAATTGTGGGCCATCTAGCACAGATTCTTTGAGGAAACGGGGCTAGCTAGCAGAGAATATTTGAGGAATTCGAGTGTTTTAACTGCAAAAATTATGTATTTATTGTCCAATTAAATTAATCAAAATCAACATGTTCATTGGAGCAGCGGGACTGTAGTTTCCTTGCCGAGCAGCACGCTGAGGAGGGATGGTCCGTATCTAAAGCGTAGGTTTTACTGATTACGCCATGGAATTCAAGCTAACCCGGTGGCTCGATCGTCAACTTCGGCAGGGGCGGCGATATCCAGGTGGATCCAGTTCAGCCCCTCGCCAAAGTCGATGTGGGAGCCGATGAACAGGCCGGCGATGGCGGATGGGGGACCCTGAAGATAGGCTTGGCTTAGGTTTAAGCTTTGGGCTTAGTTTTAGGCTTAAGCTTAGGCTTAGGTTTGGCTTAGGCTTAGGCTTAGGCTTTGGGCGCTTAAGCTTACAAGGGAACCTCAAGTTGACACGGTGGAGTTTCGAAAAACGATCGCGGCTACACCTAGGTTTTCGACTATGGCGATTCCAACGCTCTAGTCAGAATTTCCTAAATGGGCCTCTGGACAGAGATACAGCACTTCCGGAAAATGATGATTTACATGCGAAAATTTAGCATCAACGATAGGTTTATGAGGTTCTCCCATCACTATGGAATCACCAGTTGAATGGCCGAGTGGTAAGCGACTCACTTGATAGGATACTGACGAGGGTTGGAATCCGCTCACGATTTTTTTTATTTTGCTTTCTGACCGGAACTTTCAGCCCAACTTCAACTTTTTATTGTCATTATAGGAAAAATTTTTCTTTATGGTCCCAGGCTGAATTCTCCGAAGAAGCCTCAAAACTCGCTCGAAATTCAACAAAGTTCGGTCTACCCATATTCCGGTTTTCTTTACGGAGGGGCCTCTATGATTTATTTGGATGATATTTTTTGCATTTTTTTTGGCTTTCCCAATGCTTTTAGACGTTTTAGAAAGAGAACGAATTTTCGAAAAAAGTAACCACACGTTGGAGTTGGGCTGAAAGTTCCGGTCAAAAAGCAAAATTTAAAAAATCGTGAGCGGATTCCAACCCTCGTCAGTATCCTATCAAGTGAGTCGCTTACCACTCGGCCATTCAACTGGTGATTCCATAGTGATGGGAGAGCCTCATAAACCTATCGTTGATGCTAAATTTTCGCATGTAAATCCTCATTTTCCGGAAGTGCTGTAGCTCTGTCCAGAGGCCCATTTAGGGAATTCTGACTAGAGCGTTGGAATCGCCATAGTCGAAAACCTAAGTGTAGCCGCGATCGTTTTTTCGAAACTCCACCGTGTCAACTTGAGGTTCCCTTGTTAGCTTGGGCTTGGACTTAGACTTCATACTGACCTGCATCTTGCCGAGATTACTGTTACGCATATCCGCAACGGGGGACTTGAGATCGCCAAAGTGGAGGTCGGGGGCGAACAGCATCGACTTGACCATGTCGCCGGAGCGCTTCCCGGCTGTTTCAACCTGGAAAAGACAGGTTCAAGCAGTTCAGAGAGGAATTGCTTTAGAGCGGGACAGCTTGTTCAGAATCAGCTTTAGAAGCTCAGTTTAGCCAATCGTTGACCTCAATTTCAAGCAGTTCAATACTTATAAGCGCTTGAGATAAAGCTCAGTTAGCGAGAGCTCCACTTCTGGCAGTTCAGCCCTCACCTCGTACTCTGATGTCCTCCAAATTGGTGAGCAGCGCCGCGTGCAGCTTGCCCGTAACGTAGCTCTGAGCCCCGGTCAAGGTAGCCATGTCGATGATCGTTCCGGCCTTAATTTATGTTTTTAGGGCGATGTTTCCTTACATTCAACCGCTCCTTGGCGTAGAACACGCCGTCAGCAAGTACAAGCCGGCCCTCGGCGTCGGTGTTGTTGATCTCAACCGTTTTTCCGGATAGCATCCGGATGATGTCATCGGGCTTGCTGAAAATTGGCCATATTTCGTGGTCTTCAAGCCGTTCGGGTTGAGCTTTATAGAAGAGTTGTCGCAGGCCAAGCTGTAGATGCTCACATACTTTGAGCCCAAAATAGCGTAAAATGATAAAGTTAGGACCCAAGAAATGGTCGTCAAATTGAAGTCGTTCAGCTTAACGCCTATGAAGCTTAATCTAAGAACATGGTCGTCAACTTGGATCCGTTCAGCTTTTGACACTGATCAGGCTGTACTCCTCGAACTGGCTGTAAACCACCTACTTTGCAATGGGCGACACGTTGTTCTCGGCAATGCACAGCAGCACGTGCAGCTCCTGCTTGAAGCCGGCGCGGACCAACGTGGCGAAGGCGTGCAGCATCCCGGCGGCGCCTCCCATGTCTCGCTTCATGTCTAAATCATGGCGTAATCGATTTGATAGATCTTTTTTTTACTCGGCATCCCAGTCTTTCCCTTGATCTGCATGCCGCCCGTGTCGTAGACGATGCCCTTGCCGACCAGGGCGTAAGTGTGGTTGCTGCCTAAAGAACGTACTGTAATTCGTTCCGATACGGAATTTTTGTAGGTTGAGAATTTTTAAGGGAATCCGAATCTAGTCTCGAAAATTAATAAACGTGTATTTTCGTGTACTATTTACGAATAGTATTTTCGTGTATTTTGAGGCCAGGTTCGGATTCTCCGTAAAATTCTGCATAGGATACACTATTTTCCGAAAGCTGCTGCTCACCTGCCGGCTTGTGGCTGAGCACGACAAAAGCAGGCGGTGTGGGTCCGGCTTTTGCCAACGTGGTAGATGCCGCCGAAGCCTTGGTGCAGGAGATCTTCGCCACGGATCAGCTCGTGCGTAACTCCGGGGAGTTCACCAGCGAGTTTGATGGCTTCTTCGACGAGTGCGTCTAAAGATAGGCTTGATTGGGCTTAGGCTTAGGCTTGAATTAGGCTTCGGGTTAGGCTTAGGCTTATGCTTAGGCTTAGCCTTAGGCTTGGCTTAGGCCTAGTCTTGGCTTAGGCTTAGGCTATGACCTACCAGTCGTCAAGAAGTTCGCCGGGATATCAATCAGCCGTTGTGTCTCCCGAATGGCCGTAGAGAGACTGTTGAGGTACTCCACGTCCGAGGAGGACAACTAAAAACAGCTGAACGCCTTGAAAAAGTCGCCTTACCTCCCCATCGACCACCACCACCTCGATATTGATCTCCTCCAGCGTCTCGGGCTTCGTTTTGAGCGAGTATTTCGGGAAAGCTCGAGCGATCGCTGCGACTTGAGCAACAACGTCCGCGTATTCAGCCACGAGCACGACCGAGAGGCTCTGGAGATTATCAGTGTTTTCTGGGGGTTTAATCTGCGCTTACCATTGCACTGGATGGCACATTTTTCTTGACCTCCCTGAAGATGGCGACCGAGTTAGAGGGGGCGTTTCCGCGCGAGACGGTCTCTGGGACGGTGATTACCTAGAAAAAGGGAATTTTCTGTTGTTTTTTTGCTTAGGTTTCTGAAGTTTTTGAAGTCGATTTGAAGCTTTTGCAGCTTTTTATTGGGTTTTTGAAGCCGATTAACTTTTTTGAAGTCTTAATTTAGTTTTTCAAAACTTTTATGTAGCTACAAATTTTCTAGAGCCGTTGAACGGCTACTTTTTCGAAGCTTTCTAAGCCGCTTGACTTTTGGCAGGATCTTGAGGCTTATAGGCATTTTTACCAGGTTACGAAGCCTCTAAGCTACCCTCTGCGACGTTTTGGAAGTCCTAAAAAGTTTTATCAGATTTTTTTAGGTCCATTTGAGGTTTTTGTAGCTGTCAGGGCCTTCTTTTGAAGCTTTCAAAGCCGGTAAACTCTTCTTTCCTATGTTTTTCAAGCTTTCAGGACATTTTTTTTGACGCTGTTTAGAGGATAAACTTTTATCCCCAAGATTTTAAAGCTGCCAGGACTTGCTTTTGCAGCTTTCTAAGTCGGTGAACTTTTATGTCTATGTTTTTGAAGTTTTTGAAGCCGAATTTCGATGTTTTTCGAGCTATAAAGTCATGAAAAGATATGTGAAGCTTGCGTTATTTTTATCAAGCTTTTTAGCGTTGGTAATTTCTAAAATCCCTACTTACCTTTGCCCGGTTGAGATAAATCGGCGACGATCCCTCGTCGTAGGCCGCATTCAGCGCCCCTTCCCACATTTCACCCCCATTGGCCACGCCGCCCAGTTTGGCGATCGCCAACGCTGGGTCGAGCTTCTAAAATAAAGTTAAATTATATAGTTTTAACGTACGTTCTAAACAACGTCAAATTATAGCCCAGAAAAATCACATTATTTAGGTAATAATCCTATAAACGAGGAAATTCTGCCGTTTCTCGATTTAAAGTCTCTAAAGCAAGATTACTTATTCCGGGTGTCCCATAAGCGTGAAATTAAGTATTTTTAAGCGATTTAAATATATCAAATAATCCTCATCTCCCTTACCTTGACATTGTTGCGCTTCCCCACGAACAGCACGCAGGCGTCGTTGATCGTCGAATTCTTGTTGACCCCGGCGGTGACGCGCAGCATTTGGGCTGTAATGAATAAGTTAAGATTTTTAGGACTTTTAGAAGCTCTAGAATTCTTGAATTAGCTTAATTCTTAACCCAAAAGTTTTTTTGAAACGTTATGACGCCAAATCAGTTGTAAATAATGCCAAATTGACGTTTTGAACGTTTCTGGACGTTAAAACTCTTGAATTAGTTTCAAAAATGGTTTTAAGGGCCTTAATCGTTTTAAAAACTGCCCAAAATTTTTAAAACTACGCAATATTTGGTGCAAAAACTGATTTTGTTGCACAATAAATTCGTAACATTACGATAATAAGCTTTTTTAAGGGTAGATGAGCTTGGAAAACCGAGAAGCTGTGAGAATACTGATAAATAGATCTAGAAAAGAAATGCTGACCTAGAGCTGCGGGGATAATACAACATATTTCCTTAGCCCTCTGGCAGGGGGTCAGGTCAACCTGCAATCTCTCGTGGAAAATCGATGCTGGTATCTGCTGGTATCAGCTCCGAAAACGCTTTAGGTTATGCCGACAAGAGAGAGAGAGAGAGAGAGAGAGAGAGAGAGAGAGAGAGAGAGAGAGAGAGAGAGAGATACCTTACTATGCCTAACATAATCTTTTATAGTTTAAGTTTTTTCAAGCTAATCTTATGAAATTGGGCGCAAAATTTCTTTGGTCACACTATAAACTGAGGCTGATGCCATCCTATCCTATAAGCGAGAAAAGTATGTGTGTTTTCTGTAATGACGATTTCTCGGCCGTCAGGCCGAATTTCTCGCTCTGGATTTTGGCATGGAGGCGGAGAAACACACCCTCTTTATACGCGTTTTTTTGTTTTTCGAAATTCCTTCATTTAACGATTTTACAAGGAAAATAGTATAAAACCCTTAACATTCTGGCCAAAAAGGTTTCAGTTCAGAGGCTATCTCGATTGCCTGAAGGAGAGAGACCCTGATTTTTGGTGGGTTGATGCATAATGAAAATATCTCGATACTATTTTTGGATTTTCTAGTTAATTCTTTAAAATAAGCTGGGTTTTTATAGGCATTTTCCCAAAAATCCTTAACAAAATGGCCAAAGTGTCGTGGTGTCCAGGCTGCGCTGACTCGAAGCCCAGATGGAATTTCGGGCCGGGAATTTGGACAACTTATGTATTCCGATAGTGGGGATCACGCGCATCTTATTATTTTGACAAATTCTTGGCAGTTTCAGACAAAACAAAACGAATTTTGCAAAGTGACCAGGAAGGCATCCCTCCCAGCTCTCATTTCTTTACCGCTGCCCTAGGCGGACCCGGGCCCCCCAGGACAGAACAGGCCTTTGCCGCCCCCGTTCCCATCCGTCCTGCGGTGTAGTGGATTGGGGCGGGGTCTACCACGCGCATGCTCGCTGGGTTCGGATCCTCGGCGAATCCAATCCCTTGCTTTTTGGCAGATCAGCAACAAAACTTATTTTGTGGCTCACGGTGTGCGCGGTTTAGGCCTGGCTTCGCCCAGCGCCGCAGGCCAAAGAAAAGGTCCGTGACCCAGGCTCGCGCCGCAGGCCACGGATGGGTCCTGACCCAGGCCCGCGCCGCAGGCCAATGATGGGTCCTAGACGCAGGCTCGCGCTGCAGGCCAAGGATGGGTCCTGACGCAGGCCCTCGCGCCGCAGGCCAAGATGGGTCCTGGACCGAGGCTCGCGCCGCAGGCCAGATTCCGGGAGGGAAACCAGTAACTAGCGCCGCAGGCTCAAGGATTCTAGCGCAACGCTGGCCTCCGCGCCGCAGGCCAAAGAATGGCTCCTTGACTCCGGCTCATGCGCAGGCCGAAAAAGAAGGTATTTAAATTCATGGTTCTCGACGGGGTCCAGTGGTTTGGGGGCAATAGCGGGTCTTTTTCCACTGG